GCCCGTAAGTAACGGACCCTGGCGTAGACACCATACTTCCCTGGGGAGGCACAACCACTTCCCCACGAAACTACACCTTCCAGGTAAAACTTTCCTCCAGCTTCACAAACCAGTGGCCCACCAGAATCTCCCTGGCACGAATCCTTGCCTCCTCGCTCGAGTCCAGCACAGACCATGGAGTCGTGGATCGACGATCCATAAGCTCTTTTACATCCACTTTGAGTAACAATCGGGACATTTACCTGCATCAGCACATCGGCCAAACTACCACCCGAGGAGAGTGTGCCAAATCCTGGAAAGGAACCACATAAAAGAAGTTATACAGTGCTCACATATCATCGAACCGCCCCTGTGATAAGTTAAACTCAACTTACAAGAATGAATCAAAGGAAAACCAAAAATAACCAAAATTTTTTGTGTAAAATAGGGAGAATAATGAACAACGTGAAAAATATAAAAAGATATTTTCGTCTAGTCAAGTGCGTGGGACAAAGATAAGTTCCCGGAAGAGTTGAACCTCAGACCTTCGGATTCCGCGCTCCGATACTTTATCACTGAGCCACAGTAACTCTATGGTGAGCCAGGCCCATGTCGAAGCTCATATAAATCGAAGTTGATATAATTGTAAAATGACTAAATTTCAACTGGTGGCACTAAGTAGGATTGGGGCCTAAATATCAAAATGGTACAAGACATGGAAATGTCATGGGTATTCGAGCGAGGACTCGAATACAACGAATCTAAGTCGAGTGAGCTTGAGTTGAGTTTGGTGATGGGGTTTTTGCCGTAAAATTACGGTGTTGCTACGGTCAATCTTTCTGGTTTTTCAAAGGTAATTTACCCATCAATTTAAAGCTTCCACATCCCCCTCGGACCCTCATCCGTCTCTGGAGGATTGAGGAAATTAAACCCTCCCTGGATTGGAAGGTTCAAATCGTTCCAGCGCAATTAATACAACTGTCTTATCTCTAAATACGGAAGTGTTTAGGGTAAATAGTTCACTTATGCGTGAAAATAGCTCAGAAGAAGATATCTACATGGTCTGGGTTTTAAGGTTTAGTCAATGTTTAGTAACGGTCACTGACTTTGCCTATTACCAAAAAATATAATGGTGCATTTGATCACCATTTTTTCCCCCGAGTGTCGGGAACCTGAACGAACCAATGTCCATAGGATATTGAAGCTTCAGATTGACTGACACTTAACCGGGCATCGCAAACCTTCAAACGTGATGGACACTAAAAGAGGTCAAATGACACGTCGTCGAACTAGCTCAGTACCTTCTTGTCAAATAAGATTTACACATTTACACCAAGCCTCCCTTTTTGAAAAAACGTTGGGTGTCTAATTTACCAAATGAGTCGTTGTTACAACTTAAGGATCAGCTTTGCGTCTTTCGTTTAAGGTAATGACATAAGAAACGACCACCTCTTGTAACAATCTGGAAAAAATAAATACACTGTATGGGGGTAAGTGGCTCGCTAGATCAAGCTAATCCCTGTCTTTTCCTAGGATTTACGCATCAAGGCAATCGAGTCAGCGGAATGAATTGCATTACCTGTTACCCAACAACTCTTGCCATCTAAATCTTGTAAATTTGCACTCGAACCAGGCAAGCAAGCCAGTCCAACTTTATTGCTCGGTTTAGCGGGTCGTCGCAGTTTTAACAAAGAAATATCATGAGCCAGTCCGCGTGGCGTTTGGTACTTTGGATGGTTGACGATTCTTTCTACCTCAAAATCCTGCACGTCTTCAGTGTCCACGTTCGGTTTGCGGTAGTGAGCACCAATTCTGCAAGTTGTAAGAATCAGACTTCAAATCCGTGAAAGAATACTGTTAAACGATAAAAATACAACTATATCAGATTTCATCTGAAATATCGTTAGGGTTTCCTTATACTGGTGTCGGGAAAAGGAATAGAAATATATTACTTTAAACCATTCGATATAAAAAATATAAAAAGGCAGATTCATTATTTCTTAATAGTTTTGGAAGTCTTATCTTAAAGGTAGAGTTTGGTCCCGTTACCTCGTTATGATCGTAAAGTTGACATGGGTATAGTTGTTCAGGTTCTACGGTAATTGGAACTCGTGATAGTGTCTTGGGAAAGCTATGGTATCAAATAAGTTACTTTGTTAGTCCAGGAACGGAAAATCTCTCTGGTCAAAGGTCAGGTTCGACACCTCTCGTTCTTGGAGGTGACTAAGGTATAAAACATGTGATACCCTTCACGTGCGCGTTTCGTAATTAGCTAGTTATTTTGACTAGCACGTACCAACCTAAGATAATTTTCTTCTTAAGATAACCTTTCGAGGTGTGAATAATATTTTGTCAATAGGTTAGTTATGATTTTAATATTACCAATCTCGTTTCTGTTCTGGCCGATCTCAACTGTAAGAATAAGAAATTTAAGGTCGAAAATGATTTCGTAACTGCGCAAATAACTCGAAGGCGCATACCTAGTAAGCAGGAACTGTCATACGTAATGTAACATGATTCGCTGGCTAAGATGGAACGATGACGATACAAGAAGATTGACAGCTTAGAAGTGTCACCTGAAGTGTCACCTTCATAAACAGTGACCCTCGCTTTTCTTATTAGATAGAGAGTAGTCGTCCCCGTTGTAACAACTTGAGAAGAAAAGAGATTAAAGAACCAACCAAATAAACAACGAGTGTTAGAGATTTTACTTCTAATTAACAATACTCCTTCTTTCATCTCTCTCCCGTTCAGTCATTTTTCGATCAATATCTTCTTCATTCTAAAGCCATTGGCTTTGAATTTCTTCCACATCTGGCATAAACACCTCTAGGAACAAGGATTCATGAGCCGCGATGACTAAGTGGATAAGGCTCGCTCAAGTTGGGAATCAATTGGAAATTATCTTGCATTGAAATAATGATTCTTCGAGTTGAAGATTCTAGAAGAAACGTTACCTTACACGAATGCTGGAGGCGGATTTTTTGGCGGTACAGTGAGCCGCTGTTACAACCCACTGTGGATGAACCAAAGTTCCTCCACAAAAGGTGAAACCAGAAGGTGTCCTGACCTGAGCTTGCCATGGCCAAGCTCCCTTTGGGGCTTCATTGCCACCGACAATGCGTGCTCTTGGTTTAAATCCACATTTTTCGAATCCTCCTCCCCCACTTCCACCACCGCCTCCGCCTCCACCTCCGCCTCCACCGCCGCCACCTCCATTACCGCCGCCGCCTCCATTACCACCGCCGCCGCAGTGTTTACAGGACTTCTTGCAGTTATTTTTCATATACTGTTGGTATCGGCCTTTGCAGTATCCTTGCCTTTCCCACCGCTGACAGTTTTGGTTTTTATCCATGCAGTCTTAAAAAAAAGGACAATTTTTAAAAACGAATAAGGAGA